CTATAATATCTGATAATATACCTAATATTAATTGATGTGATATAATTATAGATTCTGAATGTATTGATATTACAATGATGTGTGTTTTTTTTATTTTTTATTTTTTTTTTGTGTCTGTCATTACCTTTTAGGACAGTAAAAGTGCTTGGATTTTCTTCAACAGTATTTTTTCTGATAAGAAAGTGAATCTAGTTGGTACTTTGGGGGGTCAAAAGTAAAAATTTCCCCGTAGTTTTCAAAAGCGACGTAAACAACAACATACAAATTGAAGAAAAACGAGAATTTTTACGCAAAATCTGTTTTCGAGAAAATCGATTTTGGTTTTTGGTGTAACTCTAAAACAAATGAATGTATATACATGAAATTTTTACTGACCGTTTATATTAGATTTTTATATACACCATGCCTTTTTTTTTTAAAAATATTTTGACTTATTTTGAGCTGTTTAGGGACATTTTCAGTTTCCAATTTGTTTAGTTTTTTATTCCATAAATATGAATAAAATTTTATTGGTCGGTTAAAAAAGCTTGAAAATTTAATAGGGGGCTCCTAGTATATTGTTTCAAAGGCAGATGAAAAATATTAAAAACCCTTGGTCACAGTTTTTTTTTATAAGCATTTAAAGTCCAAAAATTGACAAAATATGGAAAAATCACGAATATTAGCCAATTATTTTGATAGTTAAGAATTTGAAGTGAAATTGAAGTGTATGTATACTTAAACATCTGAATCAAACGGAGGCCGGTGACGATGACTCTGCAGCAATCGATATTCGTACGATTATTGAAAAACGACAGCGGTCGATCTACTCTATTTTCCGTCCGACTGTAATACACATTATATTATTATTATAATATATATTATTCTCAAGCTGCTCGTGCCCAAAATATAATAATATGTATAATGGTACGTTTTGTCAATGACGGTTGTAATGACCGATGTCACGGAAAACGTGTGTACAAGTGGTTATTAAAAAAAAGGATAGGTATACGCAAATAGCCGAATAAATCCATCCGAAATATCTTAAAATATTATGTAAAAATACGCAAAGCCCACTGCCCAATTTAGTATGCCGATAAACTGATTGATGGTCGTATAGATGCTCCCTCACTTCTCTCGATAGTCAATTTCAGAGTTCCTTCCCGTGCTACTAGATACCATGCTCCCTTCGTTGTTCCTGCGCACACTACCAATTATGGCAGAAATAATCCGTTAGACCGCATGATGCGGCTGGCCAATGAGAGCACCGTTTATCAAAACTGATACATTTATTATTATATATTTTTATATTTGTTTTATTATCATTATTATCATTATTATTCTGTAATTATTATCTTATATAAATGTAATTATGTCATTGTATTAATTATTTTAAATTATGTATTATTGTATTATGTTAAACTGTTGAATAGGGCCCAGCCCGTTAACAAATAAATAAATAAATAAATAAACATTGCATCTCACTCAGGTTAATATTTAGTTTCTATGATAATATCCGAAAAAAATATTCGTAGTCATAAACATCGCGGTAACAAATTACCGGTTAGGAGATTATAATATTGTTATTACCGCGACTGCAGTGATTTACCAAACCGATTTTTCATCGTTCCTAACTATGCTCGGCCGCCGCCGCCGCCGTTCCGTATAATATATACAAAATTACAGCAGCGCCGTGTACCTATACAGGGTGTAACAGAAAGATATGACATATACATTTACTGGAAATGTCCCTAAACAGTTCAAAACAAATCAAAATGTTTTGAAAATTTTATCATGTATAGAATATGCAAATATAAGCTTCAAGTGAAAATTTCATGTATATGAGTTCATTTGTTTTAGAGTTTAACCAAAAACCAAAATCGATTTTGTCATATCTTTCTGTTACAATCTGTATATGCATATACAATGTACATACTATTAACTCGAGTTTTCGAAGTCGAAAGCACACGAATAGCCCTTTAATAAGCGTAGTGATATATTACTGTATATACGTTTTCAGTCGTACATATAGGAGCAGGTCATGGTCATATATACCCACATGAAATCCGACGTCTTTGGCAATAATTTACAAATCGAAAATTCTGCAGCGTCTTAATCTCCGGCGATACCGATGCACGTCCCGCGATGTATAATGTAATAATAATATGTCATGATATTCTCTTGTGAATGAACAAATATTTTATTATTATTATTATAATAACATATCTGTCCGCCGTATATGAATATTTAGTATTTATGTATATAAAAATCCACAGAAACGTGTCAAGAGATGACCATTTATTATACCTACCTACTGCAGTGTTTGGATGATGAATTTATTCCATTTTTTTTTTTTTTTTTATAATATATACTCGGTGCTTCAACTACGATGAATTTTAGTCTGCTCTAACTTAACATTTACAAAAATAAGGTAAACAATCGGTAAAATAATATTTTTGCCCAAAGAGATTTATTTTTGAACCCCGATTGCGACGTTTTCTGTAAAGACAAAATCAACATGGAGGGGTGCGTTAATTCCGAATACACCCCCGCGATGGCGCTACAATTATTAATATATGAAACCTGGGTGAAATCGTGTCTTCGCGCCACCCCTCTCTCGATTAAAAACACATGATATTAATATCGTCCCCTCCCCCTCGTACAGCTGGCTCCTCGGTGGCCCGCCCCTAACGACGAACTTGCCCACCTATAATAGCATAATAATAATATTATACGTATCTCCGGTTCTCGATCTATATACTGGAATACGGGCCGGTATACGGCCATGTTTCGGTCGTTTCAAATAGATTTAGACTTACCGGCGACGACGTCATCGGTCCGTCGCGCGTGGCCAAGAGACTTGTTTTCGATTTTTTTTTTACGTGGTTTTTTTATTTCGAACGCCTCTCTTCGCGCCACGGTCCGATTATAATAATTATAATTATATACAGTTTTATCGACGAGCATTAATAAAACAGCCGCCACGACGTACAGGTACTGCGTTGTACCTATATACACATATATGCATCTATATATATAATATTATAATATAATTATATTATTATACATCCGTTTTCCGATCATCATTATTAATGAGGCGCTTGCGTCGCGTCCTTCTCTCTGCGAGCGTCTGTGTGGAAAAAAAACCCTTCCCCACCCCCCCCCCCCCCCCCCCAAGACAATAATTAATCATAATTCGAAACACGCTTTCGTGTATGCGTGTGTGTAATAGTGTTCGGGATGCGTTTTATATTATTATCATATTCTTACCTCGTGCGCATATTATAATCTAATCTATTTGTAATAATAGCAACAACATATCTCACCTGAACCCAAGCCGCCTTTGATGGATGATGGTCAACCTGGTATCCGGCGACGGTAATCGATTTGGAAAACGATTTTTTAAACCGTATACCACTGCATGAACGGGTCGGTGGCGGGGGCGAGGGAATATTATCATTACTTGCATGTAGGTGAAAATCTCTACGATTACATCTGTATAGACGAACACGAAATATAATATACGTATACATGACGCGGAGCCAACTGGGTTATATTTTGTATATATTATGTGATAACCAAATTAAAAACATCGACGCACACAACTGTCTTCAACTGTCTTTTGGAATTGGTATTCGATCTTCCCCTAGGATCACCGCGAAGATTTTTTAAATAAAATCGTACCTACTGTTTAATACAAAAAATATAAAAACAACGTTTTACTGTATAAAAAAAATAATAATTTTATTACTGGATAATTTACAGATAGTATAACAATTTTATTATATAGATAATAATAATAATTTGAACACAGTAATAAATAATATCAAGTATAAAAATAATATCATTTTTAAACACCGTGGTTTATAGTTTTGAAAAAAAATAAACAAAAACCATTAGGGGTGTGAAATAAATGATAATTCAATAATATTATAAACGATATATTTGATATATAATTAACGAGTGCTTTAAAATTTTGAAACGTTTATGCCAAAAAAAAAATTAATAAGAAATGCAAAGGAAAATAGGAAAATTGCTCGGAATATGGCAAAAAAACAGAAACAATAATATTTAAAAAAAAAAAGGGTGCTCAAGGTTGCAAAAAAACAGGAATAATAAAATCAACGAAAATTAAAAGGGTGCTCAAAGTGGAAAAAAACATGAATAATAATATTAGCAAAAATTAAAAGGTGCTCAATGTGGCAGGATGAATAACAGCAAACAATAGTATTAACAAAAAATATATAAAAGGTGCTCAATCTGGCAGAATAAATTACAATTAATTGTAATTGTAAAAAAAAAAGAAAAGACATCAGTCAAGACGAGGCGAGGTGGGGGGGTACGTGATGGCGAGTGGGTGGTGCAGAAGATGGTCGTCTTCACATCGTTCTTGCGACCGATCCTGCGGGAGGACAAGGGTCGCGGGGGCGCGAAGACGACCACGGAAGCGCGAAGGTACCCGACGACGACGGCTGCGAGAGCAACGATGACGGTTGACGACGATTGGGCTGGTGCGCGATGACGTCCGCCATAGATATTGTGCTGCAGGTGCCGAAGACGACTGTGGCGACGGCGAAGACGGTCACCAAAGAAGCTCGTCGGAGCGAGCGACGAAGACAATAATAATATTATTATTATTTGGTCCCTAGTCACCGTATAATAATAATAATAATTAAAGTCGTCCGTCCCTCGCCCGACGTGTGCTCTGCGATTTCCGTCGACGCCGTCGCGAGTCGTCTTCGCTGCAGCAGTCGTACCATAAGTGGTATCACCGGTACAGCTAGCCACATCCGTCGTTTTGTCGTCATCGTCGCTGTCGGACCAAAGCAGTCGGGGCCCGCCACGCCTCCACGAGCGTCTCCGAACGTCCGCGATCCCGTGGCCCTGCCGCCGGCGGCCGAAGAACGTGTGTCGGCGACTTACCTCCGATCACCCCAAAAGTGCACTTTCACGTACCTTAATCCTCGACCACACATCGCTTCGCCTTGACTGCTGCCCTCGACCGAGGCGTCGGACGCTTTTCAGCAACCCAGACAAATTACTGCACTTCCGGCCCGTTTCACTCCTCTCCACTCGGCGGCCGCCAAATGCCTGACCCGCCCGCGTGAAGACACTGCAGCTTGTGTTGCCGGTTCGTCGATCTTCGCACCATCCTCGGTCGGAGCTTCTTCGTCTAAGACGACCTCGAAGTCTCCACTGATGGCCATCGTCTCCTCCTCCTTCTCCTCCTCGCACCGCAGTACAACGTTTCCGTCTCCGGGCTGTACGTGAGGCGCTGCGGACAACGTTTCGGACACAAGGTGCACCATTGCGTCGACCAACTGATCTACGATGGCGACCGTCCGCCTGTCTCGGCATTCCACGTTTACGGTGTCGTTTTCTAGTTGTGTATTATGGTGTCCAAATTCCATTGCCATGATGTCTCGGAGAACCGACTGGACGATCGCCTCGATTTGGCTCGAGGCCGAAACCACTGCCGCTATGATCTCTTACATCACTTCCTCGACGACGGTGTCGACGTTTTCAAATGAGTTTTCCATAATTTGTGGAACGTAGTTGTTGGGTTTTTTTTTGATTTTTTATGCGTACCTTACGCAAGGTGTAGAAAAATTATTAGACAATAAGACAATATATAAATAAAATCATAAGTTGATCATTGTATATATTATTTATGTGAAAATTACTATAATATTCGAGAGATGTTTCGTCGCGAAATATAAACTTATTCAAAATGTGTAATCGGTCGTAAGCATAAACATCCAAACCAAAATCTCCATGACAACAAAATAATATTATATTGTTCAAAATTGAAAATATATTATACGGCCAATTTATTTCCAAAGGCATTACATATTATGTACATTTCAACATATTATTCATGTTAACACGAATACCTACTTGTATTGTAATGTAATAATTGGAATACAAGAAAATATATCAAGAAAACACGCTAATTTAAAAATGGTTAAATTTGTTTTTTTATTCATCTGATATTAGTACTGTTATGTTAGGTTAGAATTATGTATCAATTGATTATATTAATCCACCATAGGTGGAATACGACAAACTTGGTGTAACTTTGATACTTTAGAGGTAAATCAATGATACACTTACTTACAAACAGCACGGGTACGCGATCTACCACATGGAGTGTGGTACATGTGCATACATATAATATGTGTTTTTGTATTGGATTATTTTTATTTTATACTGATATAGTAATATTTAAGTATAAATGAAAAATTTCAAAATGTTTTTAATAACTTGTTGGATTTTTTTTAAAATCAACTGAGAAAAGCTAAGTTATTTCAACTGTAAATTAAACTAGTTAAGTTCATAAGTTGATTAGAAAATAAACTAACTAGTTAAGTTAATAAGTTAAAAAAAAATTAACTTTTTAACTAGTTAATGCCCACCTTTGCAAATAATATTGTATTATTTTATTATTTATTCTTCAAGAAGATATGCGAACAAGCATACGTCCAACTTACATTTAACTAAAAATATAATTATTTAATGTGCTGTTTTTTACGTCATATAATATGCACAAACGTAGAACAAGAGAAAACCCTTGGTTTGAATCTCAAATTAGGAAATGTGGGTGACAGGGAAATGCACCGAAAATTGGGCGCAATTAAGTAATACAATTTTAAACTATAATGACTTTTAATATCAATAAACCTTTATGTAATGTAATGTGGACTAGGTACTGCTATGTGACAGCACTAGTGTTATTAATTTGTTATACACATATTATATTGTTTGTTCTGGCTGTAGCTATTATAATATATTTATATACCAGTGTACGACGCATAATAGGTGGCTGGCATATAAATCAACTCCCTGGGTCCCTTCCATGTACATTTTCAACTACTTTTCAGGTGAAACAAAAAACAGTTTTCCTTTCTTTCTATTTGCTTAATAGGATCAATCATCACAATTTAGATTAAATAGTATTTTATAAAAAATAAATAGCAAAAAAAAAATTATTTAAAAAAAAATTTTACTTTTATAAATAACGAATTTTTGTAATGTGACTTAGGTAAATTTAATCAAATTCTAATAATTTTATTAATTTAAGATATCATAATTTAATATAATAGTCACATTTTAAAATAATAAAATACTTTCTAATTTATTTTATCCAATTAAATAGATAACAATGCTACTAAATAACAAATTTTGAATATAAAAAACTGAATAACAATCTTAAAAAAACAATATTTTTTTTATTAAAATTAAAGAAAAAATAAAAACTTATCTACCTAATTTTATTGGATCCGTCTTTGATTTGCAAAATATAAGCATATAAATATATAATATGTGTTTACATAAGAGGATGAATAATATACAACAAAACTATTTTTGTCAAAAATGTAACTAGGGTCCCTTTTATCAAATTCCCATTCATATATAATTTGTACATACTTGCGAGTAAATAGAATTATATCTATAACACCACATACAAATGATATTTTTACACTCATTAAATATTAATTAGTGGTTTTAAAATGCTGTTTATTTTTTATTTATTTTTTTATCCTGTATACAAAATTTTTACCAGAAGGAGTGCTTCGATTTCAATATATAGTATCTTATCTTTTAGCAAATTGAATCAAGATGGTAGGTACTTTAAAGAGGTGATTTTCGACTTTCTCAATAAAAATTAATTAATGTCACGGGAAAAACTACCGATAAATTGCGAAAAACTGCTATATTGGATTTTAATTTCGAACGCTTTGTTTATCACCTTAAAACCGAATTAAAAATCGTGAAGAATTTAAAAATACTAATACAATGCACAGGCTATAATAAATAATACAAATATATAAAATATCCAGACAAACCGTCTCCACTCAGAATTGTTTTTCGTATACAATGATATTATTATATTATCATTGAATTTATATTTAATACAATCCATCATATAGTGACCCACTTGTGACCTTCTGTACAGCAGAGCGACATCCACTTACCTACTTTTTTTATATTATTATGTACACATGGCATCCATAAGAAATAAAATATTCCCGTAACCAAATGTTTTTTTTTATAATTTCGTTGGCTGAAAATAAAATATAACGTTCAAACATGTAACCATGGAGATACCGCCGACCGTTTGGTATCAACGGAGAAATACACAAGATACATAATTATTAATTTAGTTTAAATTTGTTCGAAATCCCAAATAGGTTCTTGTAATTTTAGTTCAATATATAAAATACAATTATTGTACATTTTGCAACATCACGCCTACGCCGCCCTACGGAAGGGACTGCAAGCATAAATGCAAAATCGATAACCTACCTATGGTTACGATGATCAGAAAAATCGTGAAAGCTGGCCATCTCAAAGGTAAGTGAGTATTATAATTGTAATAAAAGTAATTTCTTTAAATGTACCTAAGGTACTTATTTGTGGCATAAATTCAGTTTAGCTGAGAAGCGATTTTTAAAAAAAATTTCGGGAAATCAATGTACCTATTTCAATGAGTTAAGAACAACGAAATTTTCTGTCGGATTTATTAGTTTAAAACGTAAAGCTTTTTGAAATCCATGAGTTTCCGTATTCCCATGTATTTTTAACAAATAAAATTAAATTACCCAACAATAAAATAAAAAGTAAGTATGATATTATGTAATTTCCGATTCGACCAAAACCTATATTGAGGATGTAAAAACTCAAATTTTGAACAAAAAATCGCTTAGAATCTAAACTGCATTTGTTCCAATATTTCATATTTTTTATCCATTAGCTAACTCTTTTGTAAATCGTTAGGAAAGTCAATGTTAAATAAACAAAAAATGTAAATAGGCATAAGTAAAATAAAAATGATCACAAATATTTCTTTATGGGTAATGCCTAACTAATAAGACTTTAATATTATTTTTACTTATACAGTAAACACATTTAATAAAATTTATTTAACACAAATATACTTATATTGAATTCTTGAAGTAATTTAGTAGTTATGATGTAGTATATACTATACCTATAAAGTATAAAAATAAAATTAAAATGAAAAAAAAATATTTTTTATTTATTTATTATTATCTATTGAATTTTTTCTGATGTTAATTTAATTACCTAATAAAAACAGTCTAGATACATTTACAAGTTAATAACCTTCTCCTAGATTGGGGATTTGAAAATAAAGTAATAATTTCTTAAAAATCGGCTTTACGCACTTGTTATTTCCGATTAAATTGTCATTAATGCTAACCCAAAACATCTTACTATTGGTATTAGATTTTTGCACATTCAAAATTGGCTCTCTAGTAGCATTGAGTTGTCCATCTCTGGTATAGTTAATCATTAGGATTTATGGCATAGAACTATAGAAAGTCGGATGAGCTAAAATTGACAAATATTTAAATATACAATCAAATGCATAAATCCATAAAACCTTTTAAGTTACAGTACCTACCTACCTACCGCCGGAGGTATAAAACATACCTACCTAATAGCAAAGAATTATTAATACTATCAAAAAATCATAACTTAAACAAATAAAATCACTACCTAATACATATAGCAAAAAAATAATGATATGATTTTTTAACCTATATAACATTATAATATTATATTATACCTATATATTCACGTAATGACATATAGGTAGTATAATATAACGCAAATGCATAAAAATTCAGTCAAATTGAATCACAGATAATTGAGCGAAGTCAAAATATTGCGATATTTGTTATAAGTGTGAATCTGTGTAAAAATAATATAAAAATAAAAATACTAAAAGAGACATACCTAGCTCATTGTTGCTGGCTGAAAATAAATAAACACTCAAACACGATAACCACGGATACTAGCAGGTCATCGGTATATCGACGCTGAATAATAAACAAATTTAATTATTAATTTAGCTAAAAAAACGGTGTGCACTATATTTAACAATTTTTCTTTTTGGAATTATTTCGCGTCGATTTATATAGTATTTCCAAAATAAACTACAACCGAAAGCGATCACGTTATGATGGAGGTGATGCTCATATTATATCAGAAAACTGTCAAATATCCAGGAAGTCGTATAAGGTAAGACTAAATAATAACGAAATTATTAAATCCGGCGATATTGATCATTGTACAAATTATAGACCTATATGGTTAAATCTCACTATCTCTTTCCATAATCCAAAATATTTGAAAAACCATTAAAAAGACGTTTGGTTGATTTTTTTGAATATACATAACTTTTTTTCTACAAACCAATTTGGATTTTGGAAAAATAAATCAACAAAATTTGCACTGTTATTAGCATCGAATTTTATTAATTCTAGTAGATGTTGACAATGACAATTATAAAATTATGTTTGTATTCAGATTAAAAAAATTCTTTACATAAAAACATATTAAAATATTAATGTAGTATTATTGATATTGCTCAAGATAAGTTTATTTCATA